CAGAGGGGTGATGTTAAGGGTGTAGGGGTGTCCGTGTGTACACAGAGGGACATGTGTGTGGTGTAGCAGATGTCCGGGTGTACATGTGGGTGTAGGTCCATGGTGTAGGGGTGTCCGGGTGTGCACAGAGGGACATGTGTGTGGTGTAGCGGATGTCCGGGTGTACATGTGGATGTAGGTCCATGGTGTAGGGGTGTCCGGGTGTGCACAGAGGGACATGTGTGTGGTGTAGCGGATGTCCGGGTGTGCATGTGGGTGTAGGTCCATGGTGTAGGGGTGTCCGGGTGTGCAGAGGGGTGACGCTAACGGTGTAGGGGTGTCTGTGTGCACACAGAGGGACACGTGAGCGGCGCGGGGGTGTCCGGGTGTGCGCTGCGTCACCTCGCCACGCGCTGCCGCACAGGCGCCCGCCCCGCGTCCCACTTACCCTCGGTGAGATTGACGTGCACAGCCGCGCGGGCCCGCGCCGCGCCCAGCACCAGCGCCAGCAACAGCCGCAGCATCTGCGGGGATGGTACCGGCGGCGCGCTCAGCTCCAGGCGGCCTTCACCCACCATCACCATCATCATCATCATCATTGTCACCACCATCATCATCATCACCGTTGTCGTCATCACCACCATCATCATCACCATCATCATCTCCATCATCATCATCATCATCACCACCACCATCACCACCACCATCATCATCGTCGTCATCATCATCATCGTTGTCATCCTCACCATCATCATCATCACCATCATCATCATCACCATCATCATCATCATCATCATCATCATCATCACCACCATCATCACCATCATCACCATCACCATCATCTCTAACCCTACAACTGCTCTCCTTACTGTTGGCCTTCAACCTGTCCCCTCCATGTACCCCATGTCCCATTGAGCCACCATCATCATCATCACCATCATCATCATCACCATCATCATCATCATCATCATCATCCTCACCATCATCTCTGACCCTGCAGTTGCTCTCCTTAATGTTGGCCTTCAATCTGTCCCCTCCCTGTACCCCATCTCCTACCACCACCATCATCATCATCACCATCACCATCATCATCATCATCACCATCGCCATCATCTCTGACCCTACAGCTGCTCTTTTTACTGTGGACCTTCGACCTGTCCCCTCCATGAACCCCATGTCCCACTGTGCCACCACCTCCAGCACCATCATCACCATCACCATCATCATCATCGTCATTATTATCACCATCATCACCATCATCATCATCATCTCTGACCCTGCAGTCGCTCTCCTTAATGTTGGCCTTCGACCTGTCCCCTCCATGTACCCCATGTCCCACTGCGCCACCACCCATATCATCATCATCATCATCATCATCATCATCATCATCATCATCATCATCATCATCACCACCACCATCATCCTCACCACCACCACCATCACCATCACCCAGTTTGCACAGGCGCAAGGATCATCATCATCATCATCATCATCATCATCATCACCACCACCATCATCCTCACCACCACCACCATCACCATCACCCCGTTCGCACAGGCGCAAGGATCATCATCATCATCATCATCATCATCATCACCACCACCACCACCATCACCACCACCACCACCACCACCATCACCATCACCCCGTTCGCACAGGCGCAAGGCCCGCTACACCCCGCGGGCACCTCGCACGGCGCAAGCAACACCCGCCCGCCGCCGCCTGTGCCCCTCCTGCACACAGGCGCTACACCCGGACGGGACCACCGGACAGAGCTGGGTGTGCAGGAACACCCACGGGTGCACACCCCCCGGTGCCAACAGGCGCCCGGGCTACAGCCGCACCACTGGACCAGTGACACCCGGCGCCCCATGCAGGGACTCGTCACCCTCCCCGGTACCAACAGGCGCCCGGGCTACAGCCGCACCAGCTACACCCGGCGCCCCAGGCTTTGGGGGACATAGGGGGGCACTATGGGGCGGGGGGGGGGGGCTAGCGCTATGGGGGGGTGACGTGCTCCCTATGGATGTGCTACCTATGGATTTACTCCCCTATGGATGTGCCCCCTATGGATGTGCCCCCTATAGATTTGCCCCTCTATGGATGTGTCTCCTATAGATTTGCCCCCTATGGATGTGCCCCCCTTTATGGATGTGCCCCCCCCCCATGAATATGCCCCCTATGGATGTGCCCCCTATGGATGTGCCCCCTATAGAT